TTCAGCCTAGTTACATGCATGATCAAAGCGCTCCTCTAAACCTCATCTTTCTGGTCTCTGTCAGAGCTAAGCTCGGAAGCCTTTCTACCCTATTTAAAAAGGAGGGGATTCCATGTGAAATTCCTTTATTTTATTACCTCACCCATTTTAATATAAATATAACATCAATTTTCTGCTGATTATAATTCGTTGACAATGTGAATTATAAGCATCTTCTTTTTGGACATATAGATTGTGGCTTCTTCACCTCAGCGCTAGTAATGTTTTGGGCCAGATAATTCTTAGCTGTGGGAGGCTGTCAATTGCTTTGTAGGAATTTTAGTAACAACCCTGGCCCCTGCCTACTAGATGCACAGCCCCCTTCCTTGTTACAACCCAAAATGGCTCCAAACATTGCCAAATGTTCCCTTGGGGCAAAAATCACCCCAAAGTTGAGAACCACTGATATTGATCAACTATTAACCTTTTTATCTATGAAGATACAGCAGGCAGAAGTGGTATTCCCTCCTTGGACGTTTTCAAGGAAAAAAAAGAACTTGAATTTGGTCAGACATGGTCTTTACCCTTTAGTCAGTTCCTAAAGCAAACTTATGAATGTTTTCTGGACAAATTTTCTCAGCTCGATCCATTGCCATCTATTCTCTTGCCAAATCTTTTACATAAAGAACAGATTACAAAATTTATTTCATACCTAGAATTCATTTAATTTCCACAAATGATAAGAAGTGGGTACTGATAGTCAGTTGGCTGGGGAGCAGCAGAGGGTCATTGAAAGGAAAGATTTGGAGGAGGACAGGCCTGAGTTTCAATTCTGGCACCACTGTCCACTGGCGATGAAAACCGAGGCAAGTTGTTCAGCTTCTGTGCAACTCAGGGCTCTCATCTGAAATGTGGGAGTATTAACCCCTTGGAGGGATGTTGGGAGAACTAAAATGAGATGAGATATGTAACAATATATCTCACTAGCAGAGGATGAATCGGTTATGGCTCTTCTTATTACAACACTAAGATCAGAGCTTTGTGTCCTGTACCACAGCTGCATATGGAAGCAGCTTTCTCAAGAGCGGCAGATTTTGCCCCCATTCTGGTCACAGATCTCTTTAAGGATCTGATAAACAGAAAACTACTCATAAGCAGAACAATTTATAGGCAATTTCAGGATATTCAGATTCCTCTGAAGTGTATATTGAGCCCAAGTGAAGAATCCCTCTACTGGACATGATGAGAGCCTTCTCATTTTATCTTCTCCTCTAACTGACTCAAGGAAGTGGTGCCAACTTGTTTCCTTTGCCCATCGCTTTAAACTGGCAGGCTTTCTGTGGAAATAAATTGATTCCTCTTTCTCCTGAAGCTAGAGAGAGATGGTTGGCCAACACGTCCTTGAAATAAGTCATTGGTCTTGTAGAGTACAAATAGGCTTGCCAATTTCCCTTCTTCAGGAAAAAAAAAAAAAAGATGAAGAAGCGTAATTGGTAAAACTGGTAAAAAGGAGTCAAGGTCATCATTATGATTAGTCACTGGATTAGCTTCCTATTGCTGCTATGACACATTGCCACAGACTCAGTAACTTAGCACAGTTCAAATGCATTATCTTACAGTTCTAGAAGTCACAAGTCCAAATGGGTCTTTCTGGGCTAAAATCAAAGTGTTGGCCAGGCTGCATTCCTTTCTAGAGACTTGAGGGGAAAATCTAATTTCCTTGCCTTTTCCAACTTATTGAGATGGCCCACATTCCTCGGCTCACGGTCCCCTTCCATCTTCAAAGCCAGCAATGACCAGCTGAGTCTTTCTCACATGGCATCCCTCTGATGCTTACTCTTCTGTCTCCCCTTTCCATCTTTAACGATGCCTTTGACTACATCTGGTCCATCTGGATAATCCAGGATAATCTCCCTATTTCAAATTCAGCTGATTAGCAAATTTAACTCCCTTTTGCCAGGTACTCTAACATATTAACAGGTTCTGGAGATTAGCATATGGACATCCTCAGGATAGTCTACCTACTATAGTCACATTCTTCTGGATATTTTTTGTGACAAGGTAGGAACAAGCCCTGTTACAAGCCCTGATGAACATTTACAGTTTAGAAAAGCAGCAAGTTGGCCTTATTTTTTGAATTGTCAAAATAGCAATTAACAAAATATCAAAACAATTAACAAAATAAAATATCCATATCTATCTTTAAAATAGGGCCTCTCAAAAACTGCATATACTCAATTCATAATTTCTCAGCAACTTAAGGTCTTCCAATTCCTGATAACTCAGGCAACTGGAGAAATTCTTTATAGCTCACTACACAAAGTAAAGAGAACTCATGTATTTTGTAAAGAAAGTTGCAAATACAGGTAGAGATACCCGTGAAGACTAAGTCAAGCCTGCAAGAATGAGGAAGAGCTCAAAGCAGATGAAGGCACTAATGGCAGAAGAAGGGGACAAGGCCACACAGAAGAAAACATAACAGGTACCCCACACATCTAGCCATTGCTTCATGGCACCCGTCTCTAGAATGTTCCTCATTATATCCTTTTGTTTATTTATTTTTGTTTTCCTCCAGGGGACCTGACTACTTTGTCTCTGATCCTTCCTTTATTTAGCACCACCTACCACCATAAAAGTAGCTTCTAGTCCACCATCCCAGCCATTTTTAATAGATGCCCCCACTGTCCTTGGCATTCACCTGCTGCTTACTCATATTTAATCCTGTTGCTGCCCCACTCTCCAAAACAACTATTTTATGTCTTCATGTCTCTCCTTAACCCTCCACCGCCTCCTCCTCCATTCACAAGTATTCTGGCCTCCTCTCCTCCCAGGAGCATGGTAAGATGGCACTCCACAGCCTCCTATGAAGTTAGATGTGATCGTGTTACTTATTTTGGCCAAAGATATGTAACAAAAGGGTCATATATGCCTTCCAGGGACTGGCTTTAAGAAGTGGGGTGTCATTTTTCTTTTTTTCAGTCTCGGCAATAGAGTTGCTCAGAGAGCCACCTAGCTCCCTGGATGAGGTTAGAGTGGCGGCCCCTAGCTGACCAGCAATAGGCATTTAGCATGAGAGAGAAAGAAGCCTTTGATGTGTTGAACCACTGAGATACAGAAGTTGCTATTACTACAACATAATCTAGTCTAAACTTTGCTTCCTGTTTCAGTGAGAAAATAGAAGCAATCAGAAGATAACTTCCACAACCTCCCAGGGCCACATCTGCTATTAATTAGTCATCATGTACTCTCCCTTCCTCCTGTATTATGGATGAGTCTCCATATTCCAAAGGCCAGTCTTTCATCTCTCATACATTAGAATGCATCCTCTTTTCTCCACTCAAGGCTGCCATTCCAGCATTTCTCTCCTCTGTCTCTTACATCATCAATTTCCCCCTCTCTACTAGATCACCTCCATTAGTAAATAAACACACCATAATACCTCCTATCTCTAAAAACAAAATCTCTCCTCTAGTAGCCCCACTCCATTTTAAATGAGTTGCAATACTCCCTCCCGTTCTCTCTGGAAGCAGTTAGGGTTCTGCTCACCCCGCTACAACTGAATCTGCACTTTCAAGGTCACCAGTGACACCGAGTTTGCTAAGTCTGTGGTCAAATCTCAACCTTACCTGCTATCATATTGACTTGGTTGACCACGTTCGTCCTTTCTTGAGATATTTTCTTCATTGGCTTCCAGGGCACAACTACAGTGTCTCTTAGTCCTCTTCCTACCTCACTGGCTGCTGCTTCTTGCTCTCTGAAGCTCTAAATGTTGGTTTGTCCCAAGGCTGAGCTTAGACATCTTTTCTTCTTCATCCACACTTTCTTGCCAGGTGATCTTATCCAGTCTCACAGTTTTACAAACCATCTTATATGCTAATCACACAAAATTTTTACCTTTCCTCTGACCTCCAGATTTCTATCTCTCTTAGGCTTTCTAACAGGTATCCCAACACTTCCTAAACTAAACTTCTGATTCCTACCCTTCCCTACAACCTATTCTTCTCACAGTTTTCTCCAGCTCACTAAATAGCAACTCCATCCTTCCAAGTGGCCAGGCCAAAACTGTGGAGTCATCCTTGACTCCTCTTTCTCTCATACCCCATGTCCAATCTGTCACAAATCCTGTTAGTCCTACCTTCAGACTGTATCCAAAAGTCAGTAACATCTCACCCCCTGGTCCACCACTACCACCCTGGAACAAACCAAAATCATCTCCCCAAGGAATTATTTCGAAAGTCTCCTAACTGGACTCCCTGCTCCTCCCTGCCCGATACAGTCTATTTCCAACATTACCCTCTCTCCTTGAGTCCTTCACTACGGGTGTCCACTAAATGCTTTTAAAAATTTACCATTGGTTGTTGATGGAATTAAGATAGATGGTTGAGACAGACCCTGACCACCTTTTTGGGGTAGGGGATCCTTCAGCTCTCGACGGGTTAGGGAGGTTGCCCCTCATCATGGGATTGTCTTCACTTCCTAGCCCACTTACGGTTCTCTCCAAAGTACTTTGCTATGGCTAGCCCCAAAGTCCTCCCACTAGTTTTGTCACTCCTAATTAATTTCTCCTTTCCAAATTACTTTCCTTATGCCTCTTAAAATGTTTTAGACTGCCTGCCTTAGAGTTCTTTACCTCTTCCTCCAATCCGACACAGTTGCTAAAAGGCAAGATTTTAGTGCAATTCGGCATAGCCCTCCTCCTTTACACACACACTCCCTCCGCCCCTCCCCGGTAAGGCAATCCCTTTAAAAGACTGACAGAGTTCATCTGAGTAGAGTTCAGCAAACAAGCAGTAATGAGTGCCCAGTACTGTGTCTGCCCTGGATGCTGCAATGCCCCAGGGGCGGCCACCAAGGCCAAAAGGTGGAGGATAGGACACAAGGGTCTGGGAAAATGAGTGAGGAACTGTAGGAGGAGAGAGAGGAAGGAGTCACGACGGGGAGGAAGAAGAGGGAGGAGGGGGAAGGAGAAAGCGAAGGAGGCAGGAGGAGGGAGGGGGAGGAGAGGAGGGGGCGGGGCTTCGGGGGCGGAGCTTCGGGGTGGCCGCGCGGCCTGCTCCTCCCGCTCGGCCTCCGGGGCCGCATGGCTTCGGCCTCCGTTCCGCTCGCGGGCCGCGGGGTCAGGGACCTGCTGCGCTTCCTGCGGTTGGTGGGCCAGCTCAAGGTGAGCGGGCGCCGGTCGCGCCGTCCTGACCGCAGGCGGAGGGAGCGAGGCGCGGGGACGGGGCTGGTGGCCGGGCGGCCAGGCCGGGAGCGTCTGGACCGCGGGGTACCCGGGGCCGGGAGGAGAGCCTGGCTCGGGAGGTTTCGGGAGCAGCTGGCGCGGGGATGTGCGAGGGGGCCCCGGCCATGGTCGCCTCTGCTCGGGGCTTCCGACCCCACCGGGGCGGTCGGGGTGGGCTCCGAGCAGGGGTTGTGAAGAACTGAAGCCGCCTGTCCCGCCGATGTGACGTGGAGCGCTTTACATCTGTCTCAGTTACTTCCAGAAATAACAGGACCTTTTTTTTACAGAGGATTTTATATATGTCACGCTGGAGTTACGTCATGTGCGTGTCCCACCCCCCCGTCGTGATTTTGCAGAACTTCTAAGTTCAGAGCAGATGATCTGTTTCATGCCATTACGACTACTGTTTATAAGATTCTTTAGAAATGTAGACTTAGGAGGAAAAAGTGCAGTCTCGGAAGATCACATCATCTGAACAAAGCAAGAGTCGTGACTGGTGATAGCAGGAAGTGATTAGAAACGCCTTTATCCCTTCTGCTTCAGAACTTGGAAGTCTGTCACTTGGTCAAGTTTCGAGCTTTCACCACAGTATTTTCTACTTGTGTTGAATGGGGTTCTTTGAAGGCAAAAAGTCCCAACTCTTATAGTTGACGGGAATAAGGTACTTTACAGTTTACGTCTAAAGGACTTGCATATGTTCCATAATTTATATATGTTACACAGAGTAACCTGATTGTTGGACTTTTGTGTTGTATGCTTGTGGGTATCTCTGTCTGTCTTTCTCTGACCTTACTGGTTTATTTGTTTCCAGATGTTGATCATTTTGGTTTGTGGTGGTTAGGGCCTTCCAGTCCATTCTGTCTCCTAGCGACCCTGTACACAGCACAGTAGAACGACCCCCTGGTCTTTTTGCGCCATCCTCTCACCTTCCAGCACTGTTTCAGTCAATGCTCCTCTGCTATTCATAGGGTTTTGATGGCCGATTTTTTCAGAAGTGGGCTGCCGGGTCCTTCTTCCTAGTGTGTCTTAGTCTGGAAATTCAACTGAAACCTGGCCAGTATGGGTGACCCTGCTGATATTTGAAATGCCAGGGGTATAGCTTTCAGCATCACAGCAACATGCAGCCACCATAGTATGACACCCATAGATGGGTGGTGTGGTTCCCTGACCTGGAAATGAGAATGCCGAATCTTAACCGCTAGACCATCAGGGCTGGCCTCATTTTGGTTAGTTAAGCATTTTTTAATATATTCTAAAAACATGATCCTGCTTCTGGTCCCTATTCCCTGGACTTCTCTTGAAGAGCGTAGCAGATAGTTAAAATATTTATTTTTAAAAACGTCTTTTTCGCTTCTCATTTTCATCAGAGAGTCCCACGGACTGGCTGGGTATACAGAAATGTCGAGAGGCCAGAGAGTGTGTCAGATCACATGTACAGGATGGCAGTTATGGCTCTGGTGACCAAAGATGAGCATCTCAACAAAGACCGGTAAGCCGATGTGAACTTCGCTGCCTGTGAGGGGTCTAGGAGTCTGCACCACTTTTCATGACTGAGGCCTGTGTCTAATTCTCATAGGTTAGTTTATGTCAAGAAAAATTGTTTGAGACAAACCATACAGATTCAGGAGGAAGGATGGGGAACTATGTGTGTTGATTGCTTCAGTTGTTGTAAATTGCACTCTGGGTTTTCTCTTGACAAGTGAAAGAGCCTGTCTTGGTCTCAAGGATACTAAGTGTGACATTAGGGTCTCCAGGGACTTGAAGGTGAGTGTGTTATGTCTAGAATTCTATCATTGTGTTAGTACACCATGTACTTTTATCCAGCGCCCCCATTTGTGAGGTGTCTTTCTGGAGTGGTATGTGCAAGATATAGCTGAGAAAGAAATACCCTCCCCCTCTTCAGTTGATCAACAGTGTTTAAAATGCTTTTTGAGCACAGGCCAAAGTTTACTAGCAATATAAGACAGTAAATAAATCGCATATGAATTACACAGGCCAAAGTTGGCTTCCAAAAAAAGCACGAACTAAGTGATGTTAGAAAATTAGCAAAGTGTTCTAGAAGGAGAGATCACTGTTCTTGAGTGACCTTAAGGGAGGGGGCAGACTCTGAGATGAGCTCTAAAGGGCTGACTAGGTAGAGAAGTGGGAGAAGGCACAGCACACCGAGGGAAGGGCGTAGAAGCCAAAGCTCTGATGGGAGGAAAGTCCAGGTGTATTTTGGAAATGATAAGGCAGTCGATTTGAGTGCAGCAAAGGGCTCGTGAGGGAGCGTGGGGAGCCCTGTTCCTCTGTAGATGGTGTTGAATGGAGGAGATTTTTGACAGGCAGTATCAGATGAACCCGTGTCGGATGGAGATGAACTTAAGAGTAGCCTGCAGTTTGAACTGGATGAGACAGAGCCTGCAGGCAGGGACACCTACAAGGAGGCTGTCGTCCTTGTACGGCCTTGGTAATAGCGGGAACAGGAAAGAGGCTGGCCCTCTGGGGCATTCATCTCATGACCTGCCTGTGTTATTTTGATAGTGATTATCCTAATCACTGATCATTATCACTAATAATCATAACCATTTGTTGAATGATCAACATGTGCCAGAAACAGACATTATCAAATTTAATTGTCATATCAGCCTTGTGAAGTATCATTACCCCTTTTTTACAGATGATAAAATAAAGGCTGATAAAACTGAGCATTTAAAGAAATTAAGTAACTTGGCAAAGGTCACACAGCTAATAAATGTTGGCTGCTGGATTCGAACTCAGATCTGTCCGGCTCTACCTATTTCTCTATAGAGGGCCTCATTTTGACATCTAACTAGTGTGTTGGACAAATGATTGTTTCTGAATTTTTTATCAGTAAGTAAATGCTGTAACCAGATTACCTCCTGGCTTTGTAATCTGAAGCTATCAATCTTTTAAAGTGATATTTGAGAAACCAGCCAGTTTTTAAAAAAAACGCATGCTAAAAATGTCCCCTGCCCTCTCATGTATTGTGTTGAATAAACTATCAGTTTTGATTCAGAACTGTTGCCAGCTGGCAGAATATAATTGCTTTAGAAAATACTGCATTAAAATTCTCTATGAGGGTGGAGAAAGAAAAATGTATTATGCAACTTCAAAATAGTGTAGAGGAGGAACCTGTAGTGAATATAATTCTGTGTAATTATTCACCGTTTCTTGCCTGGTCAGATGTGTGCGCCTAGCCCTGGTTCACGATATGGCAGAATGCATCGTGGGGGACATAGCACCAGCAGATAACATCCCCAAAGAAGAAAAACATAGGCGAGAAGAGGTTAGTGTTGACTGTTGACTCCGTAAGAGACCGCCGGAGAAAGCTGTTGCTGAAACCAAGCTAAGTTTGTTAGACCTGTTGCAGTAAGGGAGAGTATCTCCTTGATAGAGCTTAACAGTGTCTCAGGAAGGGGAAGATCAGGGAGGATCTTTATAGTGTTTTAGGGCCTGGGCTGGAGGATGTTTCCGTGGATCTTCCAGGATGGCTAACTAGTTGGGATCGCACAGAGTTTAGGACATGATGGCTTTGGATTGGTGGGATTGGTGAGGCAAGGTCTTAAAGAGGGTCTTGAAGAGTAAGCTGTTGGTGCTTACTCTCTTTTGGGTAGTTTACCATCTTACCTTCCAAAAGTAAGGATTTCCTGGAGTAAGCTGCGAATGGGTTTTTGCTTGTTCTCAACCTTGTTTAACACAAGAGCAGAAAAGTCTGCCTGCTCCCAGCCTTGTATAACATGGGGACATGCTTTCCCTTCTCAGTATGTGGACATAGATAATATGGCTTTCATTAGAACAATGGAAACAGCTGGAACTTGAAGGAATTCTCGATGCTAGTTAAGCTCTTTGGAGAGAAGTTCTGTATATCATAAGAATAATCATTATTTAGTAAATTTTAAATTAGTCCTTTAATTTAGTGGTTAAAAGTAAAAGAAAAAAATTTGCATTAGAAAGAAATGAATAACATCAATAAAACATTGTCAGTGTTGATTTGGGCTCTAAAGCCAGATCCCAGAGCCAAAGAGGAAGACGTATTTGAGGCAGAGGATGGGAAATCCAGGAAGGCTTTTTTTTTAAATGCCGACTGGCTGGTTCTCAATTCAGGGATTCTTACAAGCTACTTTGACTATAGGCCAGAGATCCTAAGTTACTAAGTGGACTGATCCTTTATCAGTATGGTTTGACAGGGCAGGTGAGCTTAACTAGCTGTTCCCAGAGCTGGAGGGAGACTAGAGCTCAGTAGCCAACAGCATTTTACCCCTCTAGAGGGAAGAAGATCCATGAGGAATTCCACTTTAGGAGTTCCAACACATCCTAAATTATGGAAACAAGGGGACTAATGTAAGGGATGTGTTCTTGCTGCCAAAATACAGGTCCAGAATATAGGCTTCAGCCTGTATCATGTAAAAAGGGAGGAAGCTAAGGAAATAGTTGTCCATAGGAGTCTAGACTGTCATGAATAAAGAATTCCTAGATTGATTGGCAGAATCAATACAAAAAGAAACCATTAGCTCAAGATTCTGAATTGCGGAAAGGAATTAGCCCTGAACCAGAGGATGTTGAGTAGTGACCAATGACATACAGTAAAAGAAGTGGAAAAAGCTCCCCAGTTCTACAGCTCATTTCAGGATGTATGATAGTTTTATGCAAGGGTAAATCTGGACATTGTGGAGGAGAAATCACCTCCTGAAGCACCAGGGGGTAGTCAAAGACCTTAAGTGACACAGAGAAAAAGACAAACCGCCCCTATGCAGATACACCGTGAGTTTGAAGTTTATTCCACAGAGGAGCAAGTCAGAACCTTCTGAAGAAAAACCAGTCCATCAGAAGCATCTCCAGCCACTGGAGATGAGAGAACACCTCCTACTGTCCTGACAAGGCTGAGTCTGGGCTAGTGATGCCCCACTGAGGGGCAGAGAGGGGACCTGAACCATCAGGGAGGGCGCGGCGGTGTTCCTGGACGCTGTCTCCTGGCCATGAGGAAAAGCCTGTCCAGCCTCATTAAACCTCCTGACTGATGCCCACTCCCTCATTCACAGGAGAGTAAATATCAAAATCAGAAGGAACAGGGGAAACATCTTAAAGAACCACAAGTTCTTGAACAAGAAACCAAAGGCTTGGAGAGCGCTGATCTTCTGTTGCTTCTTCCTGCTGCTGGTTAGGGTTTGAGAACAGAGAGAAAGATCTGGGTGGTGAACAGTGCTTTATGCACATGGTATTTATCAACAAATTTGCATGTCTGAACCATGCATTAAGATAGTTAAATGAAAGTTTCTTGGCTCGAGATGAATGCACATAATGAGAACCAGGAAGCCTCATTTGTCCAGAGGCCAGCCAACTGTATCAGAAAGGCCTTAAACTGAAGTAGGAGGAAGGAATATTCTTGATAAGCCTGGAAGGCTGTTTGTTTTGGAAGAGAGCAGGTATTAAGATGAAAGGCAGAATGAGGGCATAGAAGAGAAAATTAGGGGCCAAAAGCAATACTTATAGGCTGATTCCCCCTCCTAAATAGGATAAAATAATGAACTTTATATTATTACTCAAGTTGATAAATGATGTTTCGTGGGGATCACCAAGAACTAGTGGCATGCTTGACACTGAAATACAGCAATGGCAGGTTATACTCCTTTGCAAAGGGAATAACATATTACAAGTTGGAAGGCAGAGTCATGGTATGTGTGTATGTGTGAGGGTTGAAATTGCTAAAGAACCGAGAGTTTAAAAGGAGATGAACCAGACTTTATTACAGGAGTGAAGATGGCAAGTGGGAGAAAATGAAAAATATCAGGAACATGTGCCAGATAAGGAGCATTTTATATATGTTAACTATTTAAGCCTCACAACGGTCCTTTCAGTGAGGTACCATTATCAACCCCATTTTACAGACGAGAAACCTGGAAGACAAAGAGGTTAAGTAACTTGCTCAGGGTTCCACAGCTAGTAAACGGTGAGCTGGCTTTGAAACCCCGTCTGAATCTACAGTTTCTCATTAACTACTGTACTCTTCAGCCTCACCAGGGCTGTGTAACGCTCTCTGGATGCTTGTCACAAAACTGACACAAGACATTTGCTGAAAGCTTCATTCAGCTCAGAACTTGAGGCAAATTCTTGACATGCTTTGCTAACAGGAAGAAGCTATGGAAATTATCATTCTAAATCTGCATGTGAACAGGGCAAAACAATATAGAAGTAGGAGTGGCGGGGCTCACCACCAGGAAGGGAAAGTCTGGCATCTTCAGCTGTGTACCGTGGACAGGGAGGGTTCGCAGGGTTCATTTACAAAGATAGGCGTGATTCTGTGGCGTATGCATCCAAACAAGGAATATGGACTACCTAAGAGATCTCAAAATGCAATTCTGATTGTATAATAACAAATGATATCAATGAGTTTAGATCCACAAAAATCATTACTCAGTTTTAGGAAGAGAGCAGCCACATATTTGTTTGTTATCTGTTTTGTTTTTTAAAGGACATGGTGATTTTAGTCAACAGGAAGCTTATTAGTAAGTTAGTCATTGGATGTGATCTCCAAAAAGTCAATTCAGTCTTAGGCTGCATATATAGGGGCATAGTATCCAGCATGATGGAGGCAGTGATTCCATTCTGTTCCACTGCTCAGACCACACATCAGTCACCTTAAACGGAATAAAATAATCCCTTGTCAAAGCAAGACTTCTATGTTTGTGTTCTAAATTTTTAGATTTTGATATACCTGTACATATATGTTACTCACTTTATTCTTTTTTTTTTTTGAGGAAGATTAGCCCTGAGCTAACTACTGCTAATCCTCCTCTTTTTGCTGAGGAAGACTGGCCCTGAGCTAACCTTCATGCCCATCTTCCTCTACTTTATACGTGGGGCGCCTACCACAGCATGGCTTGCCAAGCGGTGCCATGTCCACACCCTGGATCCGAACCGGCGAACCCCAGGCCGCCGAGAAGCAGAATGTGCGAACTCAATTGTTGCGCCACCGGGCCATCCCCCCAGTTTGTTCTTTTCTGACAAAAGCAATGGGCAAACTTGTGTTTCTGGAACAGTCTAGAGAAAGGCAATCTATTTATAAAGACACCTTTAGTTTTTGAAAATGCAAAGTATTTTCTCAAATATTTTGCTGAGATTTATGAAAAAGAAACAAGGGAGAATGCAGGTGCAAAATACCTTGTAACTTTCATACCAGTAAGGGTGGTGTGACACTACCAGCCATTCAGGATGGTGATGTTCCTGATGAGACTAGTTGTTGACACTGGCAAATACTGTTTGCTCAGGAAATGGTTGTATTCTATAACCTTCTTTTCCTCCCAGTAGCAAAGAAATATACATACAAATATCCATTTTTATTTTCATTGCTTTTCGTCAACTCATAATTTGATTTCATAAGACCTTGGTCACTTTTGTGTAACCATTTTGCCAAAAGTAGTACAACCGTATTCTTTTCAAGGAGCCTGACCTCAGGTTAGAGGAACTGAAGCAGATTAAGAGGTGTAGGTTGAGGATGGTGAAGGAATTTGAAGCCATTTGAGCGTAAGATGCAGACCTCATGCCCCCAAAATGTGATATTTTAGAAGGATGCTGGAGCAACACAGAAATGAAGGAAGAGACAGGAATGAGGGTGGCTCTCGGACTTGGGAGACTAGAAACAAGTACAGAATACCCTCCACTCTCTTAGTCTCTCATCTCTGCTTTTCCTTGGGTTTTGGGTCTCTCAGGCTTCTGCTCGTGGCTTCTCTCTCCCATCTCAGCTGGACAAGTCATGCAGATGGCCCCGAGTGGCTCATTTGAGTTACATGGCCATTCCTTGGATCATCACTGTGGCCGCAGAGATTCTGACCCAGCTGGGTCACTGCCCACCTGTATGACATTGAGGTTGTGTGTGAGGGAGCAAAGCAGGAGGGATGGAGTTGGCCATCGGGGAAAAACTGCAGGGATGATTTTCAGCTTGATGTAAGAAAGTACTTTCTGTCTGCTGCCTAAAGGGCCTTTGGGCAGCCTCTTGAGGTGCTAGGTTCCTACCACTGGATCATTTACGGAGGGAGGGCAAGAAGGGTACGCTGATGCTGCTGAAGGGCTCAGATACTACCTGGATGGTTTGGCCAATTACCCTCTAATATGCCCTTTCAGCCTGTGAGTCTCTGAGCCTACAAAATGCTATCATATAATTTCCTTTGTGCTAGTAACTGCCCGTGTGTATAGTGCTTTACATTTTGTGATAAAAACATTAACAATAGAAAATAAATATATTAGTGTACAAAGAATTTCTTTGACCTTTATAATTCAGTGTTACTTTCCTGTTCTGTCCACTCTCAGGTTTGTTTTGAACTCTAGTATGCTTACGGTTAAAATTTACGTGGGCATCTTGCAGTTCACCCACAAGATGTGAAATCCTTGACCTCGCTTCTGAAATTTCTGAGCTCATCTCACACCCTCCGCATTGTTCTTTTTTGTGTCTGGTGGGCTGCAGGCCAGGAAATAAGTGCTCAATGAAGCTCATATGAATAAATAGACTTATTTATTTAATGTACGCTGCCCTCCTTGTAAGCCATAAATATTGCCCAATGTTCCATTGTCCCTTTGGGAGTTATTTGTAAGAGTTTGAGCCCATTATTTAGTTTTCGTAGATGAGTTGTTAAATTAGATAAATGGGAACATGATTAAAATAATGGTTTGATATTTCAGGAAGCTATGAAGCAGGTCACCCGGCTCCTCCCAGAGGACCTCAGAAAGGAGCTCTATGAACTTTGGGAAGTAAGTGTGTATGATGGATTGCTTTTTATTTACTGTAACTGAATTTATATAGCTCATCGGTGTTTCAGTTGACTAAGATGCTCTTAACAAGCTGTATCTAACTTTTTAGTTCCTGGTCTGTGTCTGTTTCTCTCCGCCCAGCTGCTGCAGGAATTTTCTCTTGGCTAATAGAAATTTCTCTTCCCTTCACTTTCCCTTGTCACCCTAATGCCTGGTATGGATTTAACCCCTGGATTTCCTGATGCGTTGCTCTCACCCCCCCGACCCTACCGGCCCCACACCCGCCCACCCATTTCTGGTCCTTGAAAAAGACGCGGGCTTTGGGGTAGTTTGCCCTGCCGAGCTCTCCCCTGAGCCTCCGAGCTGGCAGAATTCCCTCCCCACTGTCTCGTGAGGTGAGCTTGAGTAAGGCAGGCGTTTCCTTCACTTGGGAAGACAGGAACAGGATGGAAGTGCCCGGGCTCGAAATCCCGAAGCATTTCTCCTGGAAATGCCGTTTTACTCAGTGGTCAGATTCTGGAGTGTGCTGTTGTTTCTGTGGTTTAGCTGGATTGTGGGAGGAAATAATATTTTATTTTAAGGCAGTGGAGTGTGATGCAGAGAGCAGGGGCTTGCAGCCAGAGAGACATGGATTTGAACCCCTCCTCCTGGCTCCATGCCCTTGGGTGAATTACTTGGCTCTGGTCAACCTCTTTCTCCTCTAGAAAATGAGAATAATACAGCTCCACATGCCCTTAGCCATGGTTAGGAAATTTACCAAGTTCAGAGAGCCGGTTTGTAAAAAACCTGACCTAAGCTGAACTCATTCAGCTGCAAAATCTTACCCAAATCAACATGAGGCTCATAGAGTCCCCACTCATCCCGCTTGGTGTGAAAATTAGCATGCTTTGATGTAGTCATATTCATCTGTTTGGTAACCGAGTCTGCCCCAGACCCCACTAGAGATTTTCTGAAATATATACTATATGTACCATTTTATTTTCTAAAATAAAGACAACACCAAAAACTGGAACAGTTCTGGCCTGAGGATTTAAGATGAGAGATTGTGGGTCTTTAATACCTACTTTGTCAAATAATTGTGAAAATTAAATTTGGCAAAGCATTCGAGATGTGGAGCCGGAGCCTGGCTCAGGTGGTTATCTGTTACCAGGTCTAACAGGGTTTCTTTAGGAAAAGAATCTCTTGTTCCAAAGTATGGACTTTTAAGTGAACTTTTGGAACGCTATGAATTGGGGAATAATGGCGTGGAGTTGGGTTGCATTTTATACATAAAAAGAAAAAAACTGGCCCCTGAGCTTATGAAACTAATCTCATGTATCGTTTCTTAAGGAAGAAAGACCCTCATAATTTGAATATCTTTTACAAGAATTTGTATGCTTGTGCCTCCTAATTATTATAGACACGGTGGTGGCATCTGTTATTTTCTTAGTTAGCCGTCAACAACCAGCTAAATGAAGCTTACTGTAAAATTTACTTTAATTACAACAATATCTTATCTTCCAAATGAAGATTTGGAAGGCACAGTGACTACAGCAGTCACTTAGGAAGACTTTGGATTTGGGAAAGTATAAAACACAAAGCATTAAATGATTTGATAACCCCAAAACAAGTAATGATTTTATGATCTTGCAAAAGTCGTTGCTTGAATTCATTAAGCTGTTAAAGATCTCAGGACAGATAGCCAGCAGCCACCCTGGAATGTGACATCCTCCTTTCGAGTTGTTGCATCCAGGCAACCAGCAACTTAAAAGAAGCAGGCCATGGGTTAAATTTCTTTATTGGTAATACTGTGTGGGATGTTGAGGACTGATGGGGAGGAGAAAAATTGTGAGTTTTTTAACTTTCTGACATGAACGTTTGCATACTCATTTTTGCATACTATGAAAGGGTCCGGGAACTCTTTTTTGTTTTTGTATTAAAGGTCAGAGAGGAATAAATAAGGACCATAGAAATAATCAACAACGCATTCCCAAACAGAATTATAGAAATTTATTCATAGAAAATATTATTCATGGCTCTTAAACTCTCCTTAACCAAATCACACGTTCCTTGGAATGAAGTAGCGGCTTTGGGTCAGTAGGGTGAGGTTGAGAGGGGCCCCAGAGGTACAGACTGAGCATACTATTTAAGTCTCGGTGTTTATTCTCGAGTGGAGTGTGAGTGTGTATGTGTATTTAGACACTGGTGGGTGCAAGTGTGTTTGAACTTATCCGGGAATCATTAAACTAAAGGGGGAAAATGTACATCTCTAATATCTAATATTATTTTGTAGAATGAGTTTTGGACATTAGAATTGTCCCTAATTTCTTTGACCATTTCTCCCCATCTTGTGCCTGTTAAATTCTGCTGTTTCAAGAACTAGGGTATCACTTTCTCTATGTACCGAATACATGCTTTTTAGAGCCTACAGAATCTTTTGACAAAAAAGCCTAGCTCTAGGTGATACCTAAGAAGAAAATATTGCTCGCATGCTCACTCTCTCCCTGGTACAGGTTGAATTGTGCCCCCTAAAATTCATATGTACCTCCCAGTGAGACCTTATTTGGAGATAGGATTTTTATAGAGAGAATCAAGTTAAAATGAGGTCGTTCCCGTGAGCCCTAATCCAATATGATTTGTGTCCTTAGAAGAAGAGGAGTTAGGACAAAGAAATGCACATTTTGGGAGAATGCCGTGTAAACTTGAAAATGGCCATCTGTAAACCAAGTAGGGAGGCCTGGAGTGGATCCTTCCATCACAGCCCACGGAAGCAACCAACCCTGCCCGTACCTTGATTTCCAACTTCCAGCCTCCAAGATGAGTCAATAAATTTCTGTTGAAGTCACCCAGTTGTGGTACTTTCTGCAGCAGCCCTAGCGAACTAATTTTTTTTCTCTCTCTCTTTCTTCCTTTCTCTGATACGTTTTGTACTATGCAGTGGCTACTTTATTATAGTCTTAGCTGTTTTTAAATTATCTCTATATTCTGTCACTTTTGTTCTTTACTATATCTGTTAGAGTTTCATAAAGTTAAAACAGAGTAAATCCATTTCCAACTCCCTTATCTTATGGATGGGAAGATTAAGGGCTGAAGAGCCTTACCTTCCCCATGGTCTCCTAGCCAGTGGGTGACTGCAATATTGTGCTTTATAAGAAATATATGTATCTGGTCATTCAGATGACCGGAATGTATTTCTCATATATTTCGTCTTCATCTGCAATTCCTGGCTCATAGCTCCCAAGACCCTTGGGATTTCCTAAGTGTTGATAGTGATGCAGATGTATTTTGTTATATTAATGAAGGTGGTTTTGGGGTCCACCCAAGGGTGGGGCTGGTTGCCAGGAGAACCAGCCATGTGATCAGAGGATTGAACTTGTAGTGCACCTCCTGATTTCTGGGGAGTGGAGGGGGGATGAGGTTGAATTGGTCACCCAGGGCTGATGACTTAGTCAGTCATGACATTGTAATGAGGCCTCCATAAAAACCCACAAAGACAGCTCTTTCTTTTGGAGACCTTCCACGTTGGGGAACCAGAACTGTTCTATCTGCTACCCTGCCAGGCCTCAAACTCCAGAGGACAGAAGCACCTTTGTTGGGGACCTCATCCTGTGTATCTCTTTATCTGGCTTTTGATTTGTATCCTTTAATATCCTTTGTAATAGATCTGTAATCTAGTGAGTAAACAGGTTTTCTTGAGTTCTTTCAGCTGTTCTCGCAAATTAATCAAACCTGAGGAGGGGGGTCATGGGAACCCCTAGCTTGTAGCCTGTTGGTCAGAAGTACAGGTAACAACCTGGGCTTGCGACTGGCTTCTGAACGGAAGGCAGTCTGGTGGGACTGAGCCCTTCACCTGTGGAATCCGATGCTGTCTCCCGGTAGATGGTATCAGAAGTGAATTGAATTTTAGGACACGCTGCTGGCGTCCAAGAACTGCCTGCTGGTGTGGGGAAGCGTCCACACATACACACACACTCACACAGACACACAAACGTACGTTGGAATTGGGTCCAGGAGCCCTTTTACAGAGACAAAGCTAAGCCACAAGCCTACCTCCTAGTTCAGCATTTTCTTTATGTCATTATGCCACATGTTGTTAATTGAACAAGCGTTTATAGTTCTTTTGTATTGATGATACCGTTTCAGTTATTATTAATGGGAGATTCTCTTGGTTTCCTAGGGCTGCTGTAACAAATTACCACAAACTTGGATTGCTTAAAACAACAGAAGTTTATTTTCGCACAGTTCTGGAGGCCAGAAATCCAGATCAAGGGCAGGGCCTGCTCTGAAGGGTCTCGGGAGGATCCCTCCTCGCCTCTCCCTCGCTTCTGGTGAATGCCTCTACCAGCTCTGGCACTCCTTGTCTTAGGGACACATCGCTCCCATCTCTGCCTGGTTAATCAGATGCTGTCCTCCCTGTGTCTGTATCTGTGCTCAGAGTCCTCTCTACTTATAAGGACGCCAGTCATTGCATTAGGGTCCATCCTAATCCAGGATGACTTTAGCTTAATTTGGTTACGTATGCAAAGGGCTTATTTCCAAATAAGGTCACATTTTTAGGTTCAGGTAGACATGAATTTTTGGGGAATGCTATTCAACCCAGTACACAGACTCTTATATTAACCTAAGGATTTTTATAATTCATGTCCAATTTAGTACATGGACTTTGATATCAGATTTCCAGGGTTCAAATACTGACTCCTCTGTTTACTAGCTATGTGATTTTGTGCAACTTACTGAACCTCTCTGTGCCTTAATTTCCTCTTCTATAAAATGGCAATAACAATAGTATACCTATCTTATAGGGTTGTTTGGCAACCAAATTTATTTACATATGTAAAGCATTTAGAATATTGCCTGACACATAGCCCTATTTTTCCTCTGTCTCCAGTCCATATGTTCTGATTTTGATGCAAGAAAATATGGTCATTCTGTACCCAGGGAACTTAGAATAGTACTAGTTACAGAGAAAATGCCAGTTGATTGATTTCTGAAATGTTAATCACAGCCATTCACCATGATAA